CAAAGCAGTGGCTCAAGAAGAAGCACATAAACGTCATAGAGTGGCCTAGCCAGTCTCCAGACCTAAAATTTCTGGAGGGAGCTGAAACTTCAAGTTGCCAAGCAACAACCAAGGAACCTTAAGGATTTAGAGAAGATCTGTAAAGAAGAGTGGACCAAAATCCCTCCTGAGATGTGTGCAAACCTGGTAACGAACTACAAGAAACGTCTTACCTCTGTGCTTGCCAACAAGGGTTTCTCCACCAAGTACTAAGTCAAGTTTTGCTTGGAGATCAAATACTTATTTTACTCACTGAACTGCAACTCAATTTATAACATTTGGATCATGTGTTTTTTCTGGGTTTTTAGTTGATATTCTGTGTCTATCATTTATGATAGAGACACCTATGATAAAAATTATAGATCTTTCATTTCTTTGTAAGTTATAAATAATTATTTTCCTCACTGTATTTTGACTGACATTTATTCATGCAACATCATACTGAAATTAATTTGGTAAAATATAAAAGATGAGGTCATGTCGCAAAGACACCAAACATGTCAAGCCTTCAAATTGCGTATATCTGCAAAATCACCAAACACTACCATTAGGGTTGCACAGATACCAAGTACAGTACTCGGTGCAAGTACGAGTACATGTACCAATACTTTTGAGCTCCAAGACTACACTAGAGAAAAATGCAAAAATTAGGAGGCAGCTGTCATTTGTAAGGAGCACATGGAGCTCCCGGGATTTGTACATCTCTGTTTTAATTATCACATAGGGGGCTAACAAGTCAGTGAAATGTGCTGATCTTTCCTCTGATCCAGCCACAGAGACCGGTCCTGAGCCCGCACAGGGCACAGCAGAGTCCGGGATAGTTGGCAGCGGCGGTGGAGGCGCACACTTCCCACACGAACACTTGTACATACCAAAGGCTGTCATTTTCAAACTTTCCTGCTCGCACATGGGTGGGCGTGCAAGCGGGAGCAGGAAAGACGTTTATAAATGCCCATCCGCATTTATGTGGCTGCTGTCCGCCTATTGTACATAAAAACGGCTGGGCAGCAACATAACCACTTCAAAACAAAAAATGACTGCCATATAAAAGATTTAAAAAAAAAGTAAAATATAAATACAATTATTCTAAACATATGGAAAATATAGTATAAATGTTTTGTACATAAAAACTGGCTACAGAAATTAGACAGCAGTTTGAAACATGTTGTATGAAAATATCTCCTAGTGTATGTTAAAGCCGAATATAAAAAAATGTAAAGTACAGCGCTAGAAGCCTCTCGGTACAATAGAAAAAAGGCTATAGTTGGTGTAGTATCAGTAATACATAAAATGCACTCGCAGAGGGAATATCACTCACATCTGTGTGAATAAATGAGTACGTGAAGTGCCAACTAATAACAGCACAAAACCAGTGGGTGCTAAACTAAATTAGTACTGAAAAATATGTGAAACATCTATAGAAGCAACAATGTGTCAAATACAAATATTGAAGTAGCTACAAAGTGCTCTGAAGAAATTAATTAACGTGAACTAATAACAACATAATAAACAAAATGTAGCAACAAAGTATGTACAATATAGAAAAAACAGAGTGATGAAAGTGTTTCTTTTAAATTTCTCCTGATTAACAGAATAAAACAAAAGTGGATCCTCTGTTAAGATAAAGCAGAGGAAACGTATAACAATCACCGAAAGGAAGTCCGTATTATTTCAGTCTTTTCTCAACCGCATACAGATCAAAAAATAAAATAACAAAATATATATAAAAAGGATGGAAAACCAAAAAAATATATATCACAAAAAAACAAAAATGTGTATATATTAATGTGATGCATTTGTTCTTCCAAAAATCAGCCCAATAGTGAGATCAAGTACGTTTCTGAGTAGTGATTTGCCCAACGAAAATCGGAGGAGGTCCCCTCAAGGATATGCACTCACCAGATCGATTGTTAGAAAGCCGTTTGTTTCTCTAGATAGACAATGGAGCTGTACCCCCTCTTGTATCTGGCGGTCGCTGGGATCCAGACATCCAAAGCAAAAACACAGATTGCTTCACCAGGATAAACCGGGAGATCTCCGTCCTCGACCCTCCCTAGGATCCTAGATTATTCTTCCATAAATAATGATGAAGGAAAAACGGGGAATCCGCTCATAGTGTGGTAAATTAAAAAGATTTATTGAGCAAAGGAAAACAAAAATAGCGCTAAATGTAAAAAAGTAGTAAAAGCCGGCAAGTCACTCAAGAACGTGACTCCTCAGACTGGAACTGTGACGTAACTCTAGGCCCGCCCCCTAGGGCGAAACAAACAGCTTTCTAACATCATAGATCTGAAGGCAGAGCCAGCTGTACTGTACCCCCCTTCGTTCCGCCAGTCAGCGCTGGGGGATCGGAGTTGGGAGGGGGGGAATCCAGATCGAGAAGTGAGCGAATGCCGGTATGTGTTCGCTCACTTCCCGATGGATTGAGCCGCTGTGACAGTCTCATTGTCACAGGTCAGCTAGAACTATGAGGATGAGTGAAAAGCACTCACCTCATAGTTCTCCTTTAATACTGTACATTATTCTTGCCATAATGATTTTTATGCTGCAATCCACTGATGCAATTACTGGAGATCACAAAGTGCTAGAAATAGATAGCCCCTTTATAAGCTTAGCTAAAATTTAGAGAGGAAATGACGACATCAGGGCCACAACAAAGTGAGCATAATCTCTTTGTAGTAGTTTGCTTTTAACGACCGGTTCAGACCACAAAGTGCTTGCAGCATTTTTGCAGATCGCACTGGACTGGAACGCAGGCACTAATTTGCCATGTGTGTGATCGCACTGCGTGGCTGCAGTGCCATTGACTTTAATGCAGTGCCATGCCCCCTCCTGCCCCTGAACACAAGGAGCCAGCCTGGTTTACGATACAGTGCGTTCCAGAGGCTGACCGATCTGGAACACACAGTTTGTGGTGTGAACCAGCACTTACAATTGATTGCTTGGAATTACATGCAATAGGGGGATAGGCCAAATTTAGCTAAACCCATGCAGAGGCTGTCTGCTCCTAGCATTTTGTGATTTACAATGATTGCATAATTGCATTTCCACATAGAAATAATGACTTATGGCTCCTGACAATGAAGATATTGAATTGAACCAGCACTTCCTTATTCACATTCCTTGTATGCACCTATAGTGCAGATACAGAAAAGTTCATCTAAACAAAGCCTAACTTGTGAAAGTAGCAGTGTCATTATCACTGTTCTGCACATAGCATATAGAGAGAGCAAAGTGGTGGGTGGGACCTAGCAGGTTCACCCACTGCAGGCTGCCTGAAGATATTTGCAGGGGGGACAGATACAAGACCAATCACTCTACACAAGGAGAGAAAATAGTAGTAACCAGTCTTCTAGTCCAGAAAACAGCTGAAGTGCAGGCTTTGTTTCATGCTAGATTACTACACAGATCTGGAAGAAGCACAGAAAGGACACAAAGAGGCTGATTAACTAAAGAAGTTGAGAATCTTCACTGAAAAATGTTTAAATACTCACTTCATGAATACAGTCATGTAAAATGCAAATGTGACTGGATATTCAAAATGATCACGAATTTGCTTTTCACATGACTGGAAAATTGAAGTGAATATCCACACAATCTTTTTATTGAAGATTGTCAAGTTCTTCAGCCTCTAAGACTCAGGTAAGAATACACATGCTTCTTGTATTTAACTAATATTTGTGGAGCCGAAATTTCAGCTTTAAGGGCTAAAGTGTTTTTAAAAACATAGCTATACTTCAACACTTACAGAGCAGCTAAATTCACCGTAATATGTTGTTATCACCTAGGCAAACATAATATCAATCAATAGACACATGCTCTCTTAGCGTGGACAGGTGCATGTTGTTAAGCATCAGTTAATCCCATGGCTTTATGTGTAAAAATGAGTCACAACTTTAGAACTTAATAAACCATATATGGCTTCAGAGCTTCAACTTGGGTTGCAGTATTAATGTTATTTTTAAAAAAAAGATTTTTCATAATAAAATCACTTTAAAAGAGAACTATGGGGCAACTTTTTTATCCCATAGTTCTCTTCAGGGTAACGGGAGGACGTATACTAACATCCTCCTGTGACCCAAAGCTCAGTATATAGCGGGCTATTGCTTGCCATTTCCTGAGAGTGCCACAGCCGGGATGGATCCCAACAATACAGTCGAGATCCACCCAGCTGGCTGATTGACAGCGGGCTCTGCCTATCTAGTGGCCGAGCCAGCTGTCCCTGCCCCCTCCCCGATAGTCACCGCTCTCTGCGGGGATATGATCTGGATGTGAGCGAGCCGACAGTATGTATTCGCTCACTTCCCGATGTATAGAAGTCGGCTCCAACTATGAGGATGAGTGTAAATCACTCACCTCATAGTTCTCCTTTAATGTGTGCATATGGCATAGTAAGCGCTCCTGAAGCCAACTCAAAAAGGCAGGAACCTCACCTGATCTTTCGGTTTTAGATTGGACATAGGGGCTGGGGTGCCAGGGAACCCTGTGGCACACAGAAATGACACATGGTGCCTCGTCAGGGCTGGGGTCAGTTTAGTAGGCTTTTTAATTAAATAGGCTTACATTAATGCGTTAAAGTGTGAAGAATGCAAATAAAGTTCAAACACAAGCAGCATACTCATAGTCAAGTTTTTATCCATATCCTCAATTCCATGTCCCATATCACAGTCCTTAGTTGGTCACAATTAGTTAAAGGGACATTTTTATGAAGCAAAATATTTGTGCGAGAAAGCAGACCACATACTATTTCCATCACAGTCACTAAATGAATAGGTTCAGCTTCACTGCACCAGAAATAGTGTGTGGCACATGGGTCTGGAAATAGTTACTTACATCAAAGCTTTCTCACCCAGACAGTTTGCCTTGTTCTGTTTAACATAGAAGGCCACAAACTAAAACCAACTAGGTTTCCCACAACTTACTATTCAACCAATAAAAAGAAACACGTCACAGTAAATTGATTTTTAAGTCAGTTTAATCAGCATCAACTGTGAAAGTTATCAGAAGAATAGTCTCCGAATAATTAAAATATGACTTAAAAAAATAATAGCCAAGGATGTATGCTTGTTATAGTCACAGATACTGTGACTTTCTTATTTTTCCAAGGAGTGCAGGATGCAATACATTTATTTAATCGCTCTCTAGATCAAGTGGGTTAAAATCTGGATCATCTTCATCATCCAATTCTAAATCATCCAAATCTTGGAACAGGGATTCATCCACCTCAACGCTGTTGCCTGCTGTAAATAAGAAGACAATTTGTCATTTGCCACTTCGAAGGTTGATTAAAAAAAATAAATAAATAATGTAGGTACCCATGGTAGTGGAAATTCTGTTTGGCCAACAGAACATGCTGGACCTCAAAGGCCAAGGCTAAAAACAGCCCCCTTTAACCACTTGAAGACCGCGGTGTTTCACCCCCTTCCTGGCCAGGCCATTTTTTAGTATTCAGCGCTGCAGTACTTTGACTGACGTTTATTCCGTCATGCAATGCTGTACTAATACGAATTTCATACCATTTTTTGGGGACAGATAGAGCTTTCCTTTGGTGGTATTTAATCACCGCTGGGGGTTTTATTTTTTACTATAACAAAAAAGTACCCTAAATTTTGAAACAAAAACATGTTTCCCTGTAAAATGTTATGAAACGTTATCACCCCAATTTTTTGGCACAATATAAAAGATGGGGTCACGTCAGGTAAATAGATACTAAACATGGCAAGCTTTAAAATTGCGCGCGCCCGCGAAATCGCAGAAAACGATTGCAACCAAAATTGGTCGTAGGCGGCGCTTTAAAAGTTTTTACCACTCATCAGTTTAGTGTTATCAGTGATTGATGGCCCTAGAATTATTACTCTCACTCCGACGTTCGCGCCGATATGTAACATGTGCAGCATAATGGGTGCAATCGTCGTTTTCGTACATAGGCGCACCCGATGCATGTTTGCATCCCGCTCCTAGCAGACTCCCGTCCAGCTGTTCACAAACGGCCATGGACAGGAGGTGGTTAATGAAGAAATAAAATCCACCATCTTTGATTTACTGCAGGGCTGACTGATGACACCTGGTGGCTGTATCATTCAGTAGTACAATGCATGAAGAAAATGAGACCAAAAAAATGAATTATGACAATTAAATGAGAACTATGGGGCCAGGGCTTTTCCCCATAGTTCTCCTTAGGGTAACGGGAGGACACAAACTAGCGTCCTCCCGTTACCCTAAGCTCAGTATACTGCGAGCTGCAGCTCGCGGTATACTGAGACGCCGCAGCTGAAGCGGATCCCGACATCGATGTCGAGATCCGCCCAGCTGCGTGAGGGACAGCTGGCTCTGCCTATCTAGAGGCAGCGCGCAGTCAGCGCTGGCGGATCGGAGCGGGAAGGGGGGAATCCAGCCCCTCCCCTGTCACGGCAGAGAGCTGTGACAGGATCGAGAAGTGAGCGAACACCGGTATGTGTTCGCTCACCTCCCGATCTACTGAGCCGACCTGTGACAGTCTCATTGTCACAGGTCAGCTAGAACTATGAGGTGAGTGAAAAGCACTCACCTCATAGTTCTCCTTTAAAAAAAATTAGGACTGCTATATTGTCTAGTTTCATAGCATAGTATGCTATAGAAAAAAACTTGTATATACAAATGGCAACAGTTCCAGCCACATGGTCTCAATAGTAAATTAGTGACAAAAAGAATTATAATCATCAATCTCTCCCACAAATCAAGATTAAACCAGCAGAAAGCATCTATAACCTCTGCACTGAATGCCAAGGCAAGTGGTTCAGGGAACAGCAATCCACTATGCCATTTGTGCATTTTGAAATCCCAGATGTAAATAAAGTCAACATAAGCATTAAACAGAGCTGACCTTTTTTTGCTCCCTAATCTAGAACCACAAAATAGTAAAGGAGAACAAACCTTCTTCCAGGAACTTGATGTCAGAGGTGTCTAGGTTATGGTCTGTTTCAAATAATTGCTTTCCTGCATAACCAATATAAAAATGCTTATGTTATATTTGGTGAATGAAAACTACAGACATAAAACACCAATTTTAAAAACAGAATTAAACATATACAGGATTTTTAAAAACAGCTTGCACTTTAATTTTGTAGCAATAAGATGACCACATAAATGAAATCAAATCTATATTAAGCATTATCCAGTACAAAATAGGCTGTAATGTGTGAATACAAATAAGTGCATGTTTTAAAACAGCATAGTGGGGCAGGATGGTGTTAAGATGTGTCTATGTAGTTAAGCCATGTGGTTTTGTTAGAAGCTCTCCTTCCCCAGTGAAGTGCTAGTAACAAACTAAAAAGAGGTTGGAATTTGATAACCACTTGAGGCCCCAGACCTTTTCCCCCCTAAATCCCCTCGACTCCCCGAGCATTTTTTCCCCCATCTTGCCGATGTCTCCGTTCTGCGCTTTATAGCTTTTACAGTCTACTCCCATCCATAATTTTTTGGAACACAGAGTTTAAATTTGGTAGCAAACCTGGAAACTATGTATTTTTATTTAGAGCCAAAGGAAATCTCACCGCTCAAATTCCTTAGCCACCATTAGGACTCCCCAGGTGCTGGTCTAATGGGTGTGTCTCCATCTTGGAATGTAGTAGTATAAGAACAGACCGCACTATCCAGAGAATTCCAATACTTCACACTTTATTGAAATTGACAGCAAATCCAGTATAACAGTGAATAAAAGTGTACAAAGCAACAAATACCAGCACTGCACACCCCCAACCAGCTACAACCTCTCACATGTTTCACCCGTAGGCTTATTCATAGAGGTAGTACATGAAACATGTGAGAGGTTGTAGATGGTAGTGGGTGTGCAGTGTGGGTATTTGTTGCTTTATACACTTTTTTTCACTGTTATACCGAATTTGCTGTGAATGTCAATAAAGTGTGAAGTATTGGAATTCTCTGGATAGTGCGGTCTGTTCGTATACTACTACATGTATTTTTATTTCCTTGATTTTGATTGGGAATAACAAACAATTACAAAAATTACCATTTCATGGTAATTTTTCCCAACCATATAAATAATTTATTACAAAATATAATTAAAGTCACCTCATGAAAATAAAATATCACATTAGTGTGACTTTCATGTAACAGTGGAACGGTAAAGCTCAAAGTGAATGCATGTGTTTTACTATAGAGAGGGAATATCCGACTGCTTTAAGAGATCAGGAATTTTTTTTTCCCCCCAGTTGGAGTGGATGGAACCATGCTTTAAGCTCCATTCACACTGGAATGGTTGTCTGCACGTATTCAGCCGGCCGAATATGTGCGGAGCCACTCTAAAAAGAGAAAAAACAATGCACTTTAAATGTGCAGTGTTCAGGCACTTGCGGTGGCCGTGCGGCACGAAACCACGCGGCCTGCAAAATAGTCCAAATGCGATTTTTTTTTAATGGATTCGGCACAAGCAGAATCTATGTGGATGAAAGATTTTAGTGTTTGTGTTGCCAAATGGTCTTTCGCACAGAAAAATATGCTGGAAAAGCAACGCTATATGTGAATGGAGCCTTTGTTGCTTTCCTCTGCATCAACTGTGGGCATAGGGTTCTGTTCAGGTTATTTTATTTTATTTCTATAGGTTGAACTTGATGGACTTATGCCTTTTTTACTTGACTACCTATGTAACTTTAAGAGAGCTTTATTCCCCTTTTCAACACTACAATGCAACGCACACACAGAAAAGAAAAAAACTACCGTATATACTCGAGTATAAGCCGTCCCGAATATAAGCCGAGGTACCTAATTTTAGCAAAAAAAACTGGGAAAAAGTATTGACCCGAATATAAGCCGAGGGTGGGAAATGAGGCAGCTACTGGTAGATAGATACCAATAAAATTACATTAATATTTATTTAAAAGAAAAATAACCTAGCTCTGTAAGTGGAAAAGGGGGTACAGGGCTACATATCATGTACTACGGATCATTTAACCCATTCATATTAGCAGAGGATAATTGTAAATCTATTGTTCAGTGCACTCTATATGTAGTATATAGTACATGTACATATAGAGTGCCTGCAACAATACATTTACAATGATCCTCTGCTAACATGAATGGGTTAAATGATCCATAGTACAGGGCTACATACAGATCATTTAATACATTCATGTTAGTATCATTGTAAATGTATTGTCTGCACTGTATTAGCAGTATATACTCTATATAGAGTATATACTGCTAATACAGTGCAGACAATACATTTACAATGATACTAACATGAATGTATTAAATGATCTGTATGTAGCCCTGTACTATGGATCATTTAACCCATTCATGTTAGCAGAGGATCATTGTAAATGTATTGTTGCAGGCACTCTATATGTACATGTACTATATACTACATATAGAGTGCACTGAACAATAGATTTACAATTATCCTCTGCTAATATGAATGGGTTAAATGATCCGTAGTACATGATATGTAGCCCTGTACCCCCTTTTCCACTTACAGAGCTAGGTTATTTTTCTTTTAAATAAATATTAATGTAATTTTATTGGTATCTATCTACCAGTAGCTGCCTCATTTCCCACCCTCGGCTTATATTCGGGTCAATACTTTTTCCCAGTTTTTTTTGCTAAAATTAGGTACCTCGGCTTATATTCGGGACGGCTTATACTCGAGTATATACGGTATTTGCCTAAATAGTTTGCATAACATTAAGGTGAAAGTGTATTGCTACTTTTGCAGCCAAATTGGGACTACACCCATTTTATATTTGTTACATGTTCTCATAGCATAATTTAGAAAAATGGATAAACACACGCTACAAAATAATACTATACTGGCCCTAGATACAAAAAACTTACCAGTTAATTTACTTTTTCCCGATTGCTCTTCTTCCTTCTGTTTTCTTCGCCTGAGTTCTATTAACTCAACGTCAAATTTGGCTTTCCAACTAAGAAAGTTTTCAATTGTTACAGGAGTTCCATGGAAACGCACCTAAAAAAAAAGGTATATATTGTGTTTGAAAAAAAAAAGAAAAATACAATTATTATATAACGTCTATTACAAAGCAAAATGTGAAAATGTTATCCCTTTATTTTTTACTAAAATGTTGACAAACAAGCTCCCATGTGATGCAGTTTTACTGGGTCTAGTTGCAGAAAACTGACCTTTAAAATCTAGTGTAAGAAATAATATTCCCTTTGTACATATGGAGACAACTGAAGCGTTCATTGTGTCCTTTGGGAAATATAGTACTTTTTCCCTGTGGTGAAATTGTAGACTAAATAAGAGGTATCATTAAAAAAAAAGTGAATGACAGCCTCCAAACATTCACTGCAGGTAAATGTGGTTTTTTAAATATACAGTAAAAAGGTTTGTGCCACTGAATGTTTGGTGAATGTCACATTCATTGCTTTAAAAATATGTCCTTCAGTCTCCAGCAAGGTCTGTGGAGAGTCTGGAGAGCATTTTAAATGTCAGTTAGCAAAAGTTGAAACCATTCCATAGAATTAGTAAAGCCTAATTTACACTAGAAACCTTTGGAGAAAAGGGATATACTTCTATTAATAAGTAAGTATCCAACATGTCTCCAGGACCCCATTCTACAACTGTAAATAGAGAACTGCAGATCAGCAGAGCAAATTCTGTATGCAATATTTTGTCTTCGTGTACTATGCTCTGCACATTCATTGTAGTGACCTCAGAGAAGTGGGTGAGTTTGAAAGCGGACTAAAAATGTATGTAATTCTAGTAAAATAGGTGCGCTACAGCAGTGTGGAAATTATAAACCACACCAAATAGATCTATAGCAAAGTTCCCATACAGTTCACATTTATTTCAGATGACATACAACAGCACATCATTCTGAATCCAAATCTAACAAAGTGGTTTCGTCCACTTCAGCACAAGGTCTTTTGAGCACCCAAAAGCCTGACAACTAGTTTCCTCACCAGTCTTCAAGGACTGAATTAAGGTGAACATGTTGTGGCCTAGAAATGCCTAAAGGTGCCCATACACCTTACGATTATCGGACGAAGCCCCATCCTGCCCCGATGATCGCAAGATTAATTTAGCCGTAATTAACGAAAAGCACCTGGACGAAATGCGGTAATTGATTTGCCGTATTTTCGTTAGCGCAATCGCAGTGTAGATCGTACGACTTTTGACGGACGGAAACGGCAGCAGCCTTACGACAATCGTACGATCTACCAACGTTTTCAAACATGCTTGGCTGTCAAAAGTCGTACGATTGTACAGTACTGTTGGTCGGACACTGCAATGCACACATACGATTATCAGCCGAAAAGTCGATCGCATACGAAAATCTTACGATAATCGTAAGGGCACCTTAAGGCACAAGAATTCTTCTGACACGTGGGAAGCCTTCAATACCTAAAGTGAAACTAAACTCAGAAGGTAAATCTTAAAACTGCATTCAAGTTCCTTTAGGAGAACTATGGAGGTGAGTGATTTTTTACTCAACCTCATAGTCCGTGCCGACGTGTGACAATGAAACTGTCTGACGTCGGCTCAATAGATCGGGAAGTGAACGAACACATACGGTCGCTCGCTCACTTCTCGATCATCTCCCTGCAGAGAGCAGTGACTGTCACTCACGGCTCCCTGCAGGCATCCCCCTCCCCGCTCTGATCCTTCAGCGCTGACTGGCAGAACGGACGGGGGAGGGGGCAGGTACAGCTGGCTCTGCCTCTAGATAGGCAGAACTAGCTGTCAATTACGCAGCTGGGTGGATCTCTACAGTAATGTCTGGATCCGTCCCGGTTGAGGCGGTCTCAGTATACCGCGAGCTGTAGCTGGCTATATACTGAGCGTTGGGTCACAGGAGGATACTAGTTTATGTCCTCCCGTGACACTTACCCCATAGTTCTCCTTTAACTATTAACCCCATAGTTCTCCTTTAACTATTAACAAAAATGTATCTTATTTGTGTATCACCCAGCTGTAGGTCCTCAAATCATCTCTGTATTGGTGCTGACACTGTCCCTACTTCTGGAGGGTGGCTACTTTTGTTCCCCATGGTCCCTGTGTGTGTTGTAAAGTGGTCACCACTCCAAGCTTGCTCCCGTGGTAGACTATAATTTCAGTACAAATTAGTCAACTAAACGCGAGTTTGTATTCTATTACAAGAGTGAGGTTGGAGAGGTGACTACTTTACAAAACACACACAGGGACCATGGGGAACACAAGTAGCCACCCTCCAGAAGGAAGGACATTGTCAGCACCAATTCAGAAATTATTTGAGGATCTACAGCCGAGTGATACACAAATAAGATTTAACTCCTGAGTTTAGTGTTACTCTAGCGGCATACAATAATGCACTTATAAAAATTGTAAACAACTTTGCGGCATAAGCAAGTGACCTAAGCAGCGAGCACTGATCCAACAAATGAAGGAATAACTCAAAAAATATATTATATGTTTGCGGCACATTTTGAATATATACAGTAATGCAGCTGGTCTTTCTTACACTATAATGTCTTATTCACATAAATCATGAAATTGCTGAAGAATCAAGGCTGAGAGAACAGAACATTGCTGTAATAATGTGTGCCTAAGGATGTGTGTTGACAGGCTTTTGTTCGCGTTAAAAGGAGAACTATGAGGTGAGTGCTTTTCACTCACCTGAAAAGGGTGAGGGGCTGGATTCCCCCCTCCCCGCTCCGATCCGCCAGCGCTGACTGGCGGAACGGACAGGGGAGGGGCGGGTACAGCTGGGTTTGCCTCTAGATAGGCAGACCCAGCTGTCACTCATGCAACTGGGCGGATCCAGACATAATTGTCGGGATCCGCTTCAGCGTCTCAGTATACCGCGAGCAGTAGCTCGCGGTATACTGTGGCGTCTCAGTATACCGCGAGCTGTAGCTCGCGGTATACTGAGCTTAGGGTGACGGGAGGACGCTAGTTTGTGTCCTCCCGTTACCCTAAGGAGAACTATGGGGAAAAGCCTTAACCCCATTCTCCTTTAAGCAGGTTTTATATTTCCATACAAGTCTATGGGAATGCAAAATCTGCTTGAAGTAGGTAAAAAGCGGGTCAGTGGGAGTTCATTTTCAGGGCAAATGAACCCATCAAAGAATTCTGATTGATCTCAGAACATCTTAAACTCATGTAAAACTGACAAACTGTCGACACAGGCCCTAAAACGGCTGGAAATGTAGGATCTGGGCTTCTGTACATTCACACTTCAGCATGGCCATCCTTATCAACACTTACCTTCTCTGCTTCTTCCGCCTCTTTTTCCATCTTTACTTTATCCTCTTCTCTTCTAGTTTTTATTTGGTCTACTATTTCATTAAGTTTGTCTTGAACTGCAGACACTAGGGTGAAAATCATCACCATTCCTAGATTCTCCTGAGCCTATGATTAGACAGAGAATAAAATCAAAGAACAACTGGTCTGTATTACATTTATGACATCAACTGGACTATTCACTTTTTTTTCGACAGATATTAAGTCATTAGGCTCCATTCACATCTATAGCTTAGGTGTGTTTAGAGATTCCTGAGGCAGGAACATGCGATTTCCTGCAGCAGGAATCCCAAACAGAAGCAGAAGCTGTCCCCCATTCAAGTTAATGATCGGGTAGCAGCTGCCACTTTTGAAAGTTGCCGTGCATTGGCACACCACATGTAATCGTATGCGATTCAATAACATGCGGTTAGGAATCAATCACTATCCCTGGACGCATCAATCATGTGTCTGAGGATAGTGATTGGTTTCTAACCGCATGTAATATCACATACAATTACATGCCAGTGCACAGCCACTTTCAAATGCGGCAGTTGTCACCCGATCATTAACTTGAACTGGTGACAACGGCTGCTTCTAAACAGCATATTTGGGATTCTTGCTGCAGGAAACCGCAAGTTTGCACCTAAATTATAGGTTGAATCCCCGAGAAATGTAGGAAACCATCAGATGACTCAGACTTCATCCTAAAATGAATAGCTGTTTTTGGGTGGACTAAACTAATAAAGCGGGTTAAATGATGGAGTTTACTGGCTAAGTAGAATACAACTGCAAGTAGTGATGCACTGATACCAGTTTTTTGTTATCGAGTACTGATATTTTCTTTTCCAGTACTCGCCGATGCCGAAAGTCCCATTAAGGAAGCCAGGTGTGTAATGAATTGCCGCCCGGCTTCCCAATTAGCCATGAAGCCGTCTCCATGCTCCCTCGTCACCAGGTGACAAGGAAGCATGGAGCCGGCTTTCTGGCCAATCAGGAAACCGGGGGGCGGGTCATTACACGCCAACCAGCTTCTTGATTGGCCAGAAAGCTGGCTCCATGCTCCCTCATCAAAGGTGATGAGGGAGCATGGAGCCGGCTTCCCAGCCAATCTTGAAGCCGGGCGGCAGTCGAGTCATTACCCACCCCCCCGGCTTCCTGTTTGCCATGAAGCCAGCTCCATGCTCCCTGGTGACGAGGGAGCATGGAGCCGGTGTTCCGTTGGAGATTATGACGTGTTACTTTTTGTGACGCAAAAGTCTAAAGGCGCATTCGCGAGGGCCGCTTGCAACAACGGGTCGACATTTCTCATATTCCTTCGGTGACGTGAGCCAACATTCCTCACGGTCAGGTACCAATCAGCTCGCCGGCCCAGCTTAGGGAGTATTTGGGCAAGAGCAGTGGCTTTTCTGCTTTTGCAACATTTTCTACTTCTATAATTTTAATAGGGTTTTATTTAAAAAAAAATTAATATAATGTAATATTGGATGGGAATATTTTATTGATTTACCCGTATAAATTATAATGGGAGGCATATTGTATGTTGTTAAATCTATGACAGTATATACAGTATAGACATCCATCTCCAATCAATATACATGCAATAATCCTCTTTAGCCACTAGCTGTCTCCCTCCTCTATAACGGTATACAGGAGGGAGACAGCTAAAGGCTAAAGAGGATTATTGCATGTATATTGATTGGAGATGGATGTCTATACTGTATATAAAGGGATGCACACTGCCTTCAGCAAAGCCACTGCCTTTTAAAAACGTCTGTGTGACGAAACGCATCAAGGAGGAGTTTGCTGATGTCACTACGCATGCGGGACGAAAGAAATACCGAATACTTGCCGGCTTTTTAAAAAATTTTGTAAGTGGATAATTTAATAAAAAGAAACTTGTTTTGATTTGCTACACTATGAGCTGTTTGTCTAACTACATGGTGGCGATGGTTCATTAAATTATTATTTGTGGAGTGTGGATGAAGGAGGAATGGAGGAGAACTGCTAGCAGTGGATTATATATGCTGGATTTGACCAAGAAGGCGGGGACTCAGCGCTTTATGACTCTCTGTTGTCAGTGCGTCATGGGGATCTGGTGAGTGTTCTATGAGGGAGAATCACGTATACACACGGCAAATATTGGAGTAATCTTGATCGGTTTTGGAGTGTATGTAATCACAGAAGGAGGAATATCACTGTTTATTATCAATTTTAATAGGATGGACATTACTTTATCTGCTTAGTACACTATCACTATTTGGCAGAGAGTTTTAATTGTTGCAAGATAGATTAGTATTGTTTTGCATGGAGCTGGCTTCCCGGCCAATCAGAAAGCCAGGGGACGTGTAATTACGTGTTGCCCGGCTTCCTGATTGGTCAGCTTCTCGACTTGAAAGTCGGCTCCATGTTTCGTCACCTGGTGACGAGGGAGCATGGAGACGGCTTACCTGCTGATCGGGAAGCCGGGTGGCGAGTCATTATTGGGACTTCCGGTATCGGTAAGTACCGGAAAAAAAAATATCGGTACTCGTACTCCATACTGGAAAACGGGTATCAGTGCATCCCTAATATTGACTTAACAGATGTAAATTAAGAAGTCATTACATTAGTCACATTATTTTTATTACTAAGTCTTTGGAAGAGCAGAGGGGACGGTTAGGGTGATACTTTGAGACAAGGTTTGAGATATATCCGGGGGCAGAGTTGTGAATGGCTTTGTAAGTGAATGTTAATATTTTACATTTTATCCTCTGGGCGAGTGGAAGCCAGTGTAGGGATTGGCAGAGGGGGGATGCAGACACTGAGCGGTTGGTCAGGTGGATGAGTCTGGCAGCTGCATTCATGATAGACTGAAGGGGGGAGGAGCATGTGTAGTGGAAGGCCAATGAGGAGGGAGTTGCAATAGTCAAGACAAGGGATGACAAGTGAGTGTATGAGTAGTTTTGCGGTGTCATTGGTGAGGAAGGGGCGTATTTTGGAGATGTTACAAAGGTGAAGGCGGCAGGATTTGGATAGCAATTGGATGTGGGGAAGAAAGGTGAGGTCCGAGTCAAGGATGACACCTAGCACCTTGGCATGGGTGGAGAGTGGATAGTTGTGTTAGCAACTTAATTGGGGAAGGTGCACGGGCAGGAGTCAATATCAATAGCTCGGTTTTTGAAAGATTGAGTTTTAAGAAGTGTTGCGACATCCAGACAGATATGTCAGTTGGTAGATTAGTGACACGAGAGGACACTGAGGGGGAGAGTTGTGGAGTGGAAATATATATTTGAGTGTCATCGGCATAGAGATGGTATCAGAAGCCATGTGAGGTTATTAACTGACTAAAGGAGGAGGTGTAGATAGAGAAGAGAAGGGGTCCAAGGACAGAGCCTTGGGGGACCCCTACAGAAAGAGGAGGGGATGAGTTAGAATTGTAGGTGACACTAAAAGGAGCGCATATCTAGGTAGGAGGAGAACCATGAGAGAGCAGAGTCTTGTAGGTCACATTATATTTATCTATTGAATAGCACAGTGGACTTTAGATTTACGAGTGTTTAGATGCACACAGCACAGCAGCTTTTAGCACCTTTAATGTTCATCACAAACCACAGCGCAAAATATATATTAGAGTCCGAGTACTCACCCAAATACTTGGTATTGGCACCAAGACCGATACTAGTATCAGTATCGGTGCATCCCTAACTACAAGCTTCTGAGACATCTTAGGTCTCTTCCTCAGGTATGGTGTCATAACCTACAAAACACTGGGGGTGATTCACATTTGCGTCAATATGCCTGCGACAAATTTATTACGAAATACCGCCATATTAGTGATAAGAAAAGTGGAGGTAAAAAAAAAAAAAAAAAAAAACTTTTCCATATAGGAGTGAATTGTATCTCATGTGTCAGTATTGTGTCAAAGACAAAACTATGTCTAAGGCAATTCTGCAACAAATTCATACACATCTTACTGACAGTTACATGAATTTGTCCCCAACTGTGCAATCTGTTGCCAAGAAGGTGGCCAGATTTCTAATGAGTGTCTATGACATTCCTATGAATTTCAGGGATTGTGTTTTGCTTCAACCATGTTTACAATAAATCTCAAAGCATGTGCATATAACAAGATTTATGTATACCCATAGTGGTTCATATTGAGAATACACAAGTCTATAGATCCAAGACTTACCTGTTCATGTAATAAGCCCAGCACAACAGATGCATCTCTATCCTCAATATTTTCTTGGGAAAGGATTTCATAGAGAGGAGCTTCATCTGGATACCTTTCTACATATGTAAATTTAAGTGATAACACCACATCTGTAAAGACAAATAAAATATAGCATATTAGAAAAACCACCATCATTAAAAGGAGAACTATGAGGCGAGTGATTTTCACTCAGCCTCATAGTTCTAGCCGACCTGTGACGATGAGACTGTCACACGTCGGCTCAATAGATCGGGAAGTGAGCGAACACATACCGTCGCTTGCTCACTTCTCGATCATGTCCCTGCAGAGAGCCGTGACTGTCACTCACGGCTCCCTGCAGGGATTCCCCCACCTCCCCGCTCCGATAGCGCTGACTGGAGGAATGAACGGGGGAGGGTACAGCTGGCTCTGCCTCTAGATAGGCAGAGCCAGCTGTCAATCACGCAGCTGGGTGGATCTCAACAGTAACGTCGGGATCCGTCCCTGGTGCGGCGGTCTCAGTATACTGCGAGCTGTAGCTCGCGGTATACTGAGCTTTGGGTCACAGGAGGACGCTAGTTTATGTTTTATAACGGCACAGGACTATCCAGTGAATTTCAATACTTATTACAGATGCTGCCACTGAGAGTAATTACTTACAAAGTGACCCGTTAGGGGTACTTGATGACTAAGGCCCCTTTCATACAGGTTGATCAGGAGCGGATCACAGATCCCCTCCTGATTGGAGCAGTACAGATCAGATGACCCCTGTGTGACATTTGTGTCCATCCAGTTTTTTACCTCCATCTTGCAGAATGGAGAAAAGAACTGAAATGTCCAGACCATGTCAGTCTATGGGAGATTGGATTTAAACAGACCTGGTGTCCCTTTACATCAGATTACCCCCGATCCAGCATGATCAGGTTGGTTGAAACGGAACTCCGATCCATTTGTTTTTCTGGACCTGACCGAAGTTGGGGGTAAGGAGATGCCCATCTGTTTAGACATGGCGATCCATAGACTTAGCGTTTGGTATCCGATCAGGCCTGCCTGAAGAACTAAGAATTACCTGTTCATGTAATAAGCCCAGCACAACAGATGCATCTCTATCCTCAATATTTTCTTGGGAAAGGATTTCATAGAGAGGAGCTTCATCTGGATACCTTTCTACATATGTAAATTTAAGTGATAACACCACATCTGTAAAGACAAATAAAATATAGCATATTAGAAAAACCACCATCATTAAAAGGAGAACTATGAGGCGAGTGATTTTCACTCAGCCTCATAGTTCTAGCCGACCTGTGACGATGAGACTGTCACACGTCGGCTCAATAGATCGGGAAGTGAGCGAACACATACCGTCGCTTGCTCACTTCTCGATCATGTCCCTGCAGAGAGCCGTGACTGTCACTCACGGCTCCCTGCAGGGATTCCCCCACCTCCCCGCTCCGATAGCGCTGACTGGAGGAATGAACGGGGGAGGGTACAGCTGGCTCTGCCTCTAGATAGGCAGAGCCAGCTGTCAATCACGCAGCTGGGTGGATCTCAACAGTAACGTCGGGATCCGTCCCTGGTGCGGCGGTCTCAGTATACTGCGAGCTGTAGCTCGCGGTATACTGAGCTTTGGGTCACAGGAGGACGCTAGTTTATGTTTTATAACGGCACAGGACTATCCAGTGAATTTCAATACTTATTACAGATGCTGCCACTGAGAGTAATTACTTACAAAGTGACCCGTTAGGGGTACTTGATGACTAAGGCCCCTTTCATACAGGTTGATCAGGAGCGGATCACAGATCCCCTCCTGATTGGAGCAGTACAGATCAGATGACCCCTGTGTGACATTTGTGTCCATCCAGTTTTTTACCTCCATCTTGCAGAATGGAGAAAAGAACTGAAATGTCCAGACCATGTCAGTCTATGGGAGATTGGATTTAAACAGACCTGGTGTCCCTTTACATCAGATTACCCCCGATCCAGCATGATCAGGTTGGTTGAAACGGAACTCCGATCCATTTGTTTTTCTGGACCTGACCGAAGTTGGGGGTAAGGAGATGCCCATCTGTTTAGACATGGCGATCCATAGACTTAGCGTTTGGTATCCGATCAGGCCTGCCTGAAGAACTAAGAGGCGAACCCGATGAGACATCCCTTGTGAAAAGGGGCCTAAGGTTGACTGAATATCTACTCCAGTAAAAACGATGCATACACTTTTAATAAACTACACTATACAGTGGTACCTCAGTTCACGAACAAGGCTGCCTACCCTTGCTGTAGTCATTAGCCACAAATCTACTGCTAACTTATTTAATTACTTACATTATTACCTGCTCACAGACTGCAGAAAGGCAGAAAACCACCAGTGTTTAAAAAAAAACCCAATATACTTTTCTACATCATGTCAACTTACTTTCTTCTTCCTCTTCTGCTTCAGATGACACAGTGATAGAGAAACTTGCTGGAGATTTAGATAGGACTGTAACAAAATGAAATGTGCTCATGTTAAAACATAGCAGCAGAAAGCATGCAACAGCAGAAGCTGTAATGTACAGCTTGAGTAATAATGGACTTCATTACAGTGATCCATCAGTATTAATGGGAACATATAGGGCTTGTTCGCACCACATCCATTGAGCTGTGTTTTTCTGCATAGCACAGCACATGTATTGCGGGAACAGGTAACACAGAAAACAATTGTTCTCTATGTGCTCTGTTCACACCGTACATGTGCTGTGGTGTGCAGAATAATGCAGCTGGATAATGGACGTGGTGGGAACAAGCCCATAGTGTTTTCTATTGTTTAGATATACAAGTAAGAGTCCTATTCTTAAAGATAATCTTATCAATATACAGTATATGCAAATCTTAATGTGTATTGGGAAATCCCATATGCAAGTTCTGATTCTTGTTTTTCAGTACTTTACAATGGTCATCCCTACTGCACCTTTTCAATTGAATCCATGCACCCACACTGATAACAGAAGGAACATACATGTTTTCATTTTTTGCAGAGCTTTGTTTACATTGCAGCCCCAGGTCTGTATGGAGGTATTGACCTACAGTTATGGGGCTGGATGGTAATCAATGGACTACAAGTGCAGTGATGGAGCTTGTGCTCCATTGAGATCTACCATGGTGGCAGATGATACTAGCAGTCTTTCCATTCACAGATCCCTTTCAATGGATCTGTGAAGGGATAAGCCAGCTGTGTGAGTGCAGCTATATTAAATTTAAAGGACAACCCATCAGCGTAGGTAGAAGCACCATGCAAATTAATTTTGTTTGGGGGAGCTGGTTTGAGACTGGGGTGTTGGGGAATGTGACCATGTTTCATATTACACAGTAAATCGCAGTCAGAAAAGTGAACTAAGCCTTTCCTGAACTATTGATGCAGAAAAAGCCATTCAGGTCTGAATTCTCACTCTGCATGAATGTTCCAGGTCAATGACTCAGTAGATAGCAAAGCCAGTATGAGGATGGCAACCCTCAGCCATTAGGTTGAACAGCCAAGAATTGGCCCCTCCCACTTTTTTAACCTTGTATCCCCCTATTTAAAGAAGAACTATGAGGTGAGTGCTTTTCACTCACCTCATAGTTCTAGCCGACCTGTGACAATGAGACTGTCACAGGTCGGCTTAGTAGATCGGGAGGTGAGCGAACACATATCGGCGTTCACTCACCTCTCGATCCTGTCACGGCTCTCTGCCATGACAGGGGGGGGCTTTATTCCCCCCTCCCCGCTTCGATCCTCCAGCACTGACTGGCAGAATGGACAGGGGGAGGGTACAGCTGGCTCTGCCTCTAGATAGGCAGAGCCAGCTGTCAGTCACGCAGCTGGGCGGATCCAGACATAATTGTCGGGATCCGCTTCAGCGTCTCAGTATACGGCAAGCTACAGCTCGCGGTATACTGAGCCTAGGGTGACGGGAGGACGCTAGTTTGTGTCGTCCCGTTACCCTAAGGAGAACTATGGGGAAAAGCCTTAACCCCATAGTTCTCCTTTAATTAGCTTTTTAATGGCAATGGGCCGGAAGAAGGAACCACAGAGCACAGCGGGGAACCAGCCATCCGACACTCCCGGATGTGTCAGATGATGATGATTCCTCTTCAAATGAGTGACAACTGGCTGCAAGGGCAGCGACAGGTGAGAATTTTAAGTCTCGGGACAGGGTCACTTTAAATACAGAGCAGACTCAGAATTTAGGAATGTGTCAGGCTGAGGGGTGTACACCCAGGAGGGGTTCTTCCATGTCACCCTGGTCTATGAAATTTCAGTCCTGGGGGCCCTGGCAGTGCTCACCTGTAAAGGAGTCAGCATAGATGGACTCCAGAGCCTCCAGCTCATTGCGCTGTTCTTCGCTGTAATCCGTCATGGTTAGCGGGCCATTGACCGAGATGTGAGTAGGAAAATAACAGGACGTGCAGCTATCTCCACCGGAGCCGTTTACTGCTTGCTGCAGCCACCCGGCCGGCCACGCTCGGCGAATGATCGCTCACTCTGGCATCGATTGCTCTAGTCTAGCACACCGCCCTCTTAACTCCTCAAGTGCCGGCGACAGCTAGAACTTTCAAGTGTGGAAAAGCTGATGTTAGTAACGTCAAGACTGTAGTTGGCAATTGCTGTTTACGTTGCACTATTGGCATAAATACCTGTGTGCAAGCGATAAGAGGGGTTCACCGACCATACCACATGACAGTGCAAATACTAACGGGGCACGTTTCCCTTCCGTCAGCTATTTTGGTTGTATTGGTTGAGTCTGAACTGTCGCAGAGTGTGATGTCATCAATAAGCTTTCTTCGTTTGTGTGGTACGTATGTGTGTATGAATGATCTGCCGCTCGGTCTGGTCTGATGTACGTAAAGAGGAAATGTGTGTTCTTTCTATAGCACAACGTTTACATCGGTCTTTATTGCCCGATATCAGCGGATAGTGTAACGGAAATGTGATGGTTCCTCTTGCAGCCAGTCCAGATTTAGGGGGTTATTCACAAAGGGGTGAAGAGTTTGGAGAAGGCAGGACAAGTGAACAATCTAGGACAGCGGTGGCGAACCTATGGCATGCGGGGCCCCCTCTGCTGGCATGCGAGCCCAGGTCCGCATTACCAAAGGACGCAGCGATAGCGGCCCCAGTCCAATTAATTTTGTTATGCAGTAGTTCCCTCTCTCCCCCGCTGAACTGACAGCAGAAGAGAGGGGGCTATTTTACCATTTTCGGCTGCCGCGGAGGAACACGGAGAGCTGCGGCAGCCGACAATTAAGTATTCAAAGCCTGTATTAATGAATAGAAAGCCTGAGCTGCACAGCTCCCCTGAGAGCCTATACAGACCACCAGAAAGCCCACTTGAGAGCCGCACAGCCCCCTGAGAGCCCGTACAGATCACCTCAGAACTGCAGAGCCCCCCTGAGAGTATTCAGGTCTAATTGAAGGGTTGGCACTTTGAGATACAAAAGTTGGTTTAGTGATCGAGTTTGGGCACTCCGGCTCAAAAAGGTTCGCCATCACTAATCTAGGACAACATAGCTGAGCTGGAAAGTGAGCTGAATTGGAGATTTTTTTCCAAATCAGCTACTTTGGTCTAGATTGTTCACTTCTCCTGTCTTCTCCAAACTCTTCACCCTTTTGTGAATAACCCTATTAGTTTCTTAAAGGAATAGTACCTCTATGTTCCCATATCTAGGGTGTAACATGAAGCATAGTTGCATTCCCCAAACCTCATTTTATTATGGTATCATCTTGTTTGCACCGAGCACCTAGGCAAAGCAGGTGATTCACTTTATTGATCCCTGCTTTATTGATCACATGATCTGAGATTCTTGTATGAGTATTGACTTTTACACTAGGCTATGCATGTTTCTCCTGTTCCCCCGCATAACAGGCCCGGTGTATGGCCACACTGTCACCTAGTGGTTCCATGTAGTGGGATAGGGGTTGGAGGAAGATACCAGTGTTGAATGCCAAAGACACTCATATAGTGTCATGAAAAGTGTCCCTATATCCCATCTTATAACATTTTGTTTTCTTAAGGCAGAAGTAAAGGTAAGTTTACCATTACGTAACTCCCACGTATGTAGGGCTGCAACAACTAACCGATAATGAGAATCGTCAATAAATCCGATCGATTAGTTGAGTCCGATTAGTTGGTTCAGCCTGCCTGCCACAACTTTGTCCAGTGCTCAGCCGCTTCTCCCTCCCCCCCAGCTGCCGCCTCAACTCTGCTAAGTCTATTATCTCCTCCTCCCCCCCAAGACGCTGCCACTCTGCTCAGCTTCTTACTCCCCCAGCTGCCACCACCACCCGGACTCTGCTCAGCCGCTTTCCTCCCCACTGCAGTCTCTGTCATCTCTGATCCCACTGCTCTCCCCCGTCTGTATTGGCAGAGGCAGCAGGCATTGGAAGGGAGACTGAGTGGCTTTCATGCGCTAGAACCGCTCTGAGACAGGAAGGTCAGAGAGGTGGGTATGCTCAGGAAAGGGAGGTGCTGCTTGACAGGTCGCAGAAGCTCGGAGGCAGTGGGTGTGTGCAAAAGTCAGTCTGCTATTGCAATTTGAAATAACCATTAGCAGGCTAGCTATTACACCCTCCCACTGCCTGCTGTCAATCACCAGAGGAGGAGCTGTTAATTTCAAATTGCAATATCCAATAGCAGGCTGACTATTGCACACACCCACTGCCTGCTATGTTTTCATTCCCTGGCTGAAGCTATTCAAGCCATGTATGCTTGAATTGCTTCTTTTGAAGTGGAAAGGTGACCCTAGACCCCGAATGTCACCTTAAAGAGAACCTGCCATCTCCAATGTGCTATCACATAGTGGGCTTTTGAGTCCCCCATGTGATAGCAATGAAGTTAACAAAAAAAAATGTTAAAAGAGATGAAGGTAAATAGAATACATTTTAAAATTCCCCCTTCAAAACAAAAGTCCCCCTGCGAATACGCGCATACGAACAGGAACACAAGTCGGGTGCACCTACATACAAAAATGACAATTGCGCTATACATGTCAAGTATTGCCATGTGTACCAAAATGAGAGCAATAATTCTAAGTCCAATATTCATGGCTAACACTAAACTGATGACCGGCTTTTATATTTATAGTATTTTATATACCGTATATACTCGAGTATAAGCCGAGATTTTCAGCCCATTTTTTTTGCTGAAAAGTGCCCCCCTCGGCTTATACTCGAGTCAGCGTCATTTCTTCTTACTTACCTCGCCGAGCGTCGCGTCACTGCTGCTCCGGTGGGCGGCGCTCCGAGCGGGGTCATCTGGCAGTCTCCGGGTCCTAATTTAGGTGGCCGGAGACTGCCAGATGACCCCGCTCGGAGCGCCGCACACCGGAGCAGCAGCGACGCTCGGCGAGGTAAGTAAGAAGAAGAAAAACCCCCCCGCAGCGGCCAGTCAAGCAGGGGAGCAGGGATGAGTCAGCGGCGCGCTGATCAGGCGAGAGGAGCTCCAGGTGGGGTTGTAATTTAGCGGGCAGGCACCTCTAAGTCAGCTAAATTAGGACCCCACCTGGAGCTCCTCCCACTGGACCAGCGCGCCGCTGACTCGTCCCTGCTATCTCCGGCACACGGACACAGTGAGTGAGGGCAGATGGGGGGGAGGGAGAGATTTATTAAGCAATTATATATGTATTGTCTGCACTGTATTAGCAGTATATACTACATATAGAGTATATACTGCTAATACAGTGCAGACAATACATTTACAATTATACTAACATGAATGTATTAAATGATCTGTATGTAGCCCTGTACTATGGATCATTTAACCCATTCATGTTAGCAGAGGATCATTGTAAATGTATTGTTGCAGGCACTCTATATGTACATGTACTATATACTACATATAGAATGCACTGAACAATAGATTTACAATTATCCTCTGCTAATATGAATGGGTTAAATGATCCGTAGTACATAATATGTAGCCCTGTACCCCCTTTTCCACTTACAGAGCTAGGTTATTGTTTTTCTTTTAAATAAATATTCATGTAATTTTATTGGTATCTATCTACCATTAGCTGCCTCATTTCCCACCCTCGGCTTATATTCGGGTCAATACTTTTTCCCAGTTTTTTGTGGTAAAATTAGGTACCTCGGCTTATATTCGGGACGTCTTATACTCGAGTATATACGGTATATAATTTATGTTTGTAACACTCCAGTTGTGTATTTTATTTTAAATTAAATATGGTATTTCATTTTGTTTTATCCCATTAGTTGAAGAAACTAATCGACCAACGAATCGATTATGAAAATAATTGTTAGTTGCAGCCCTACACGCATGTGCATGGGAGTTACTTCATCTCGGCATGCTGGGTCTATGCGCTGAGCTGTGCATGTGCAGCTCAGAGTACAGTAAAAAAGACAAAAACTGCTGACAGGTAGAAAGAAGCTTTTATGGCAGAAGAGACTTACACAGTCCCTTCTGCCATAAAAAGCCTGACCATCTGCAATTTTTGGAGGGGAAGCTTTACTTCCATTTTAAAGTGACAGAGCTCCTACAAATGGCTTCTATAAATGAAGCCTGTTACTTTGCCTTGTATGAGCAAAGTACAGTTTCATTGCAACACTGGTATTTCAGGGACAGTTGCAATAGGACCGAGGTCCTCTTGGAAAGAGAATGTTATTGGGGGACCATTCTGTTACATAGCAAGGCAGGAGCAATGAGACTTTAGTTAAATGATGCAGATTGAATCATAAATTCCCTCAGCTGCTCTAAAGTAGCACTGTGACGGAATAAACCCCGAACCTGACCACTTCTTAATTGAGCGTCTGTTTACAAAGATCCCCCCCCCCCAAAAAAAAGAGTTGCATAGGCCTTCTAAAACAAGAGGCAGCTTGATTTCCATCTAATTGTGTCACTAATTTGCTTAATACATGTCCCCTATTGTCATTGTAATCATGGCAGTGATTACATTAATGTATAAATTGCCCTCCATTTGAATGTATTTGTCTTATTTATGTAGGCAATATTTGTTGGGAACTGTTATCTTGTGGTTTAATGTGCTGCAAATTCATTTGATTATGTGTACAATAAATGATTTATTGTTCCTTAATGTGATTGTGTAACTTATTTATGTGCATCAGTTGAAAGGAAAAAGTTGTGTTTCCAGGGGCAACCGCTCAATTCATCCATTTTATGAAAGAAAAGAAAGAAAATTCCTCCTCCGTGTGCGCCAAGTTTGGGGTGTGCTTAATATACAATGAATGTCTTTGTTTCACTGGGGCTTGCAGTACTTTCAGGGATGAGGGAAAGGGAGAGCTTGCCTGAGCAAACATGATATTTTCAGGCTGTGAATATTTATGGTTCGGTGTCGCCTGAAGCATTTCAAGAAAAAACGTTTGACAAGACAGCATTTATCATAACCTAAGTTTGAACATTACCACTTAAGGACCAAAGGATGTACCTGTATGTGCTGAAATTTAAGTGGTTATACCATGATCATGGCTGCGGAAGGCAGAGGGCTTTTATGTACAGGTGATTTGGGCGGCTGTAGATCCACTCGATCACATGTACTGGCCTCTAAAGGCGCTGTCCCCATCCCATGGTTTACAGGCTCTCCCACTCGTCCAGGTTGGCGAGTGGGAGCAGATGAGAGAAAATCCGTTCCCAAATCTGAAAGCACATCGCTTCCTGCTTCACTGCTGTCAGACGTCCTGTGCTTGATCGGCTGCAGGGGAGACATTATGAGTCTAATAGCCCCCTGATGTCTCCACAAATAGACCTAATATCATAAATTTGTTAGCCCCCTGTGATAGATAAAGTTATATGGAAAAAGAAGTGTTAAAAAGTAAAGAATAATATGTATTTGTTACAGGTATTTATATAGTACCGACAATTTTATGCAGCACTTTACATAGTTGCACATTCACATCAGTCCCTACCCTCAAGGAGCTTACAATCTACGGTCCCTATCTCACATGCATTCATACAGGGCCAACTTAGAGAGGAGCCAATTAATCTACCAGCATGTCTTTGGAGTGTGGGAGGGAACCCACACAAGCACAGGGAGAACATGAAAATCCTTGCAGATAGTGACCTGGCTGGGATTCGAACCGTGGGCAGAAGCGCTAACCACTGCATATAATAATAAAAACGATTTAAAAGCCATCCCCTACAGTACATGCAAATGCAAACACATGTGTAAGGCATGCACATGTATGTAGACAGCAATTTCACCACACCTTAGGTATCGCATCGAACGTCGGAGTGAAAAAAATAATTCTAGGACCACAATTTTAAGGCTTGACATGTTGGTACCTATTTACTTGAGACAACCCCATCTTTTATATTTCACCAAAAAGTGGGTATTTTATTGTGTTTGTATGTAAAGTTCATTTGGTGTATTTTTTTTGTTAAAAAAATTGGTTTGATATACATTTGTGCAAATATATAAAATAAAAAAATGCAGCTTCCATTTTTTTTTATTCTACAAGGAAAAAAAATATATAACTGTTTGGAGGTTTAAAATGTTCGGCTGAGCTGAAGTGCAGAAGGACTTCGACTCTGGATCAACATCTGGATCGGCTGAGCAGAAGCTCCGGCAGCTCACTCGCTGCCGTTCGCCCCAAATCATTCCTATTGGCCGGCACCTGCTAGAGTCTTCTAGTAGGTGCCAGCCAATGAATAACAACTGGACAGAGCCTCCACCCAGTTGTTATTGTTTAATGACAGATCAGCGTCCCCAGGTCATTTGGGGATGCTGATCTGTAATAACAACTGTGCTGAGCCAGCCGTGAGATCATGGCTGGCCCCGCCCAGCTGTCATTTGAGGGGCGAACGGCCAGCCTTCGGCAGGCCGTTCGTCCCGCTTCGGCTGTAACTTCGGCTCAGTCGGGCTATTATGAATGGCCCCTACAGCAGCCCTTCGGTTCGACTGAACCAAACAGCTACGGCAGCCGAAGGATCAACCGAAGCTAAGGCTGGATCCTTCGTGAATAACCCCCTCTGGTCTCATTAAAATGTGTCCCTATATCTCAACTCAGAAAATTGGAAGGCATATACAGCCCAGGCAGGGTAAAGCAAGAAAAGGTTTCCTTAAAAGTGTATATAAACACTAACAGAACTTTTCTAATTTGCTCCACTTTCAGTTATGCAGTTGAAAGTTTTTTGTTATATTTGTTCGATAAGTGCAAAAGAATACCTGTTAATTCTGCCAGAAATCTAGTGAGCTGATAACTTTGTGTGCACTCTGATGACTATTATCCATTAGCATTGTTATCTGTGAACTATAGAACACCTCCTACTCTGTTATACAGATGAGAGGCAATAGTGTTCTGTAGTCCCAACACACTTCCTGTTCTAGGATAACAAAACTGTTCCTTGATAGTTACGGTTCACCCTAGGATAGGAAATGTGTTAGTGGCAGCATCACCAGGTAAAAATAAAGACCTAAAAGCCTGAAAAATTGAAAATAAAGTAGCTACCACATCTAGCATC